GGCGGGGCCGTTGTAGCGGGCGAGGCCCGAGGTAGGGGGCGAGGCCCATGATAGGGGTGTGGCCCAGTATGTGCAGTATGTGGTTATGCATGGTATGTGGTAGGGTGGGGAACTCACTAAGCTTCGTGCTTACGGTTTTCAGTTTTGGTTTCAGGTACTTCCGGTAGCGGAGGAAAGAGCTCGGGGTGATCGCATGGCACACACCATAGATTAGACAGCCTGGGAATGTTTACTCTGATAACGAACATATGTTTTGAAAACTTATACTCATATTATGTTTTGGAATGATGATGTTACTTTAAGTAATGATTTATTAAATAAATTTTTGGTCTTAAATTTTGGGTCGTTATAGTAACCTTGGGTACGCCCCGCGTACCTGAGGGGGAACGCGTCCAAATGAGGCGCGCGAGTACGCGCAGCGTACACCTTGTACACCCAGCGTACTCGCCTACCATGAAAACCCTAAATCATTAACTTAATCAAGATGCAAGGCCAACAGAAGAATACCTGGATTTCGGGCTGTTACAAAAATATGGTTGAAATACATCATGATATAATGTTGAAAATTGTATTCTATTTGGTTGTTTTATTATCGTGATTTGCATGGATGACCCATAAGGGGATTATATGTTTTCCTTTTGGTTGTGTGTAACTTGTTGGCTCATGAAGCAGTTGCTGACACTTGTTTCTTTGCCATATGTATTTATTATCAATGCAGGTAGCTTAAGAGTATGGCCTGATGAGGTTAGGTCTCTTATTGGGTAGTTATATATTAATAAAGATGCCACTTGGACACGTTTTACTTTACTTAGGTATTTACTTCCGCAATAATATAACAATTTGATGTTTGATTTTGAAAGTTGGTAACGCGTGGTTTGTTTGGAAATGTTTTATAAATAAATATTTAAAGTCTTCCATTACATTTTTTGATAAATGGTTTTAAAATAAAAAATGGAGTAAAAATCACAACATTACAAAAACCCTATATCTCGAGCTTTGGGCCCTATTTAAAGCATGTGATGGCTAGGGTTTCTCCCGCCCTCAGCCTCCATCACCCCCAAAGTATAGAGAATCAAAACCTAGCTTCATTTTGTTGCTTTTGAGATCATTTTTTCTTATTTGTGTCCATTGAATAATAATGATGCTCATTTATGGTGAAAGGATCCATTAATCAAGTTTAAGCATATCTTTTAAGCTAGATTCGTCCATTTGTTGAGTTTTGAGTGAGTGGTTGCAATAAAGTTTGCAACTTTATTGATATTTGAGGTCATAAGAGTATAATATGTTTCATTTTTGGACTCTTATGTTGTTTTGTTGTCATGCATGGTGTCTTGACCCTATTTCTTACCATTTTAACCTATCTTGGGGATGGACATGTATTGGGCATGCATGTCTATAAAGTTATGATTTTAGGGTGTCATGAAGCCTTATGGAAAATATGTGTAGTTGTCTTAACATATTAAGGACTTCATAAAGATTTGGATCTGCTGACCACGGCATGGTGGGTAGATCCGTCGCATTTTCTAATCAAACAAGACCACGGTGTGGCCAAGATCTTGCCATAACGTGGTTAGATTGTCTTTGTGTCTTTGTGTTAGATTGTCTTTGTGTCTTTTGCATGAAAGACCATGGAGGACCATGCCAATTGTATGAAAGACAATAGGGGACCGTGACAATTGTATGAAAGACTATGGGGGCGAGGAGAGGGCATAGCAGGAAAGACTACAATGGGGGTTGTAGCAACAGAAATGATTGTAATATTATGGGCGGACCATCGCGTTCACATGGGTTTAAATATATCCCTAGGGTTGGGCCTATTGTTATACGTTGTATGTGGTATCCTGAAGAATTCACTAAATTTTGTGCTTACAGTTTTAGAAAGGAAAAATATTAGACTTGATTGCACCACACCTGATGGAGACTACCACGTTTTTTTTAATGTTTCCATTATGATGTTTTGAAATATAACTAATTACTTTGATTTTTTTTTTATGAAATGGCATTGAATGGTTTTTAGCATATTCTTAAAATGAAAATCTTACATTATATACATATACGGGGAACGTTACAATAGGGTGGTTAGTGGACAGTATGTGGATTAACAAATACAAATGTTAGGTGATCATGGTTGAATTTATTTGTATCAATGTTAAGTGATTCATAATTTTTGTAAATCAAACAAATCAAATAAATAAATAACAATATACATGGGGTATTGAGGGGGTAAAGTGGGCAGCTGCATATGGTCCAATTTTTTTATTATATATTTTTATTTAAAAATAACAAATTATTATAACGATAATGACCTTTTTTTCTTGTTAGTCCTGAGCCTTTGAGATATTTAATTCCTTAGGACCAACCCTGACTATATATATATATATATATATATATATATATATATATATATATATATATATATATTCCACATTTTAAAAAATACAGCTAATAACAGATATTAAAAAAATTCATGAATAAATATTTTTTTTCCATAACTCGTGTAAAAAATTAATCCCTGACACGTTTTCACATGAGTTGTTAACAAACTAAGAAAACTTACTTATTTCAATATCTATATACTAATTATATCTACATCCAAAATTATATAAATATTGACGGTCTTATAAACCCTAACTTTTTTTTTTTAAATGGTGGATTTTATTAAGACAAACAACTATTACAAGCAAGCATACGAGAACAACACCGCATATTCCAATTTAAAGAACTGAGATTAGAACGATGCTTTAACTATTTGTAAGAAATAAGTTGAATCTCATCCGCTGTTTTCATAGGGGAGCACCTCATCTTCTTGAAAACAAAAGTATTATAAGTTTTCCAATCATCCATATGGTAGAGTAAATAAGACCAAGCTTCATCATTTTAAAATTTTGGTCAAGCCATAACAACACATCTTTAGAGACAAACCCGATAAACTCATAGGAGGGGAAGATAATATGTTTGACCAACTGTGGAGCCACTTCGAAACAGTCTACGAGAATTAGCAGTCGAAAAAATAGATGCTCGATATCTTCATTAGCTGCATTGCAAAAAGGACAACTAGATGATGACAAGATTATCCCTCTCACCGGGAGATTCATAGCAACAAGAATTCTATTCATTACGATGTGACAAACGAAGTGATTTGTTTTTGTGGGGACCCATGAAACCCATTTAAAATTAGGCAAGTGAGCATCAGTCACCTTGTTATTCATTATGGCCCTCAAGGATTTAGGATTTAACAGAAATGATTCTAGTTGAATCACCTTTCTAATTTCAAGAATCAACACCCGAGGAAAGCTGCATACTAGCAACAAGATTGTTGAGATCCTCTGATTCCTTGCATTCAACACCTATTCTTGGTTCTCTCTTCGGGTACCCAATTCCGACAGTGTTTTCATTTTGAATTCTATCAGCAATTTTGCATTTTTTTGAGCTTCAATAAGGTATAACTTTGGAAAAGAATTTTTGAGAGTTGTGTTTTCAAACCCTGTGTCCTTCTAGAAGTGAGTTGTATCACTTGTCCCCAATTTTCTTTCAAACAGGTTATCAAACGATATGCTCCATTCTTCCGAATCAAGACCGGTTTTAGTAATTGATAACCATCTTCCCATAAAACCATTTTTAGCTAAAGGCTTGCCATCTATACTAGAAAAATTGTGAAAAGAAATCATGCAAGATTTCCAAAGACTCTTAGATTCGATTTTCAAATGTCATGACCACTTAGTTAAAAGCCACATTCATTGTTTTAAGACACCCGACTCCGAGACCCCCTTTAGATTTAGGACAAATTACCGAACACCAAGCCACCAAACGTGTGTTCTTTTAATCATTTTCTTTACCTCCCCATATGAATTTTTGCCTTATAGCTTCCAAGATATCAATCGTCTTCCTTAGATCCTTAAATAATGAAAAGTAGTAAAGTGAAAGGCTTCCTAAAACGGACTTGTCAAGAGTATTGTTGGGATCATCAATGATAAATGCCATGGGAGCTTGTTTACTTCATATTAGTTGAGACTTCGAGCAACACATTTTACACAGTTAAATTCGGAACCACTTCAAGTTACCAACCCGTATCCACTTAAACAATCCCCATATTTGGTAGGACTCACGGTAACAAATGCATAATTTTGCGAGTGCCACATGAAATCATCATTTCTCATTAAAAAAATGTATTTTTGTACGCATATGCTAAATTCTTATTTTTTAGTGAGAAAATTAACTATAATTCAATTTTGGGTATTTGATTTAACGATTTGATATTCACATCTAAGAAGCAATAACGTTTATGTAAACCCTCGAGTATACCTTAAAGTATATTTGAAACGATGTTTGTGATAACAATGAAAACTATGTGTTCGAGAGAGAGACCTTTAGAGGATTTGAAAGTTTTTCTTTTATGTCAAATGAAGTAAAAATATGAAAATTAAAGTTTTTACATATCAAAATTTATAGGAAGTAGAAACCATTAATTTCGCATACATCGCCTATAAATTAAATTTATGGTTCGTCAAAATCATCAAAACAGCGTAGTTTTGATAACGTTGCAAGTATAATGCCAATTCGAGATATGATATGTGAAATTGATCTATTTTCAAAATATGATTAATATATTTTAATTATTGGAAAAACCTTATTTCGTTTTAAATGTTTTTTTGTGGTTTTCTGTTGAATTAAAAACTAGCGAGACATGTTTTGTTTTCCTGACAATCCATAAACAAGTGTTTTTATGGGATTGAGAGAGAGAAAGTGGGAAGTGGCAGGCAATCCGCCAAACGCTTTTGATAAACACAGCAAATACGCACAAACAAACATACGGCGACCAGCACATAGATTCTGCGCAATATTATAAGCTATATTCTAACAACAACAATACAACATTGATTCTAACTGAAAACCCTTGAACACACTCATAATCATCTATTAACAATTTAATTCCATCATCATCATCATCATCATCATCTAACCCCAAAAAACTTGGAAAAGCAAATCATGTCATGTCTTCTTCATCTTTGCTGTTCCATCATACGCGTAAAGTCCTCGAAGCACACGAACCCGTCTCCGTTCTTATCCACGCTACTTATCATACTCCTGCATTCTTCTAACGTGCACCGCCCGTCCCCAATCGATTTGAACACCGCGAATAATTCGTCCGCCGTTATCTTCCCGTCGCGATCGGTGTCGAAAAAATCAAAAGCGTCTCTCAGCTCAGTATCGCAAGCTGGCGGACCAAAAGCGGAGCTTATGGCTCCGAACTCCTCCAGAGTAATAATCCCGTCGCCGTCTCTATCGAGTTCACTCAACATCAGGCTTAGCTCCTCCCGGATTGGAGGTTCGGATCCTCCGATTCGGTTCAAAACAGCCTCGAGCTCCTCCCTCGTTATCATTCCGTCACCGTCACTGTCAATAAACCTGAACGCTTGCACCAACTCAAACTGTACGTCGGTAGAATTCTCCAACCACTCCTCAGAAGATATTTCGTGCGAGTGCGAGTTCGAGTGCCTTGGGAGGACGCTGGTTGGAGTAGCAACACCGCTTGACATGGACTTGTTGTGGCCATGGCTGGGCTCCGACGAGGTAGAGGACGTCGTGGCGTAGGAACCGAAAGAGGATGGATCAGATCTGGAAACCGAACGGTTTTTATTTGATCGGAAGAGATGTTTGGGGTTGAGTTTGCCGGAGATTTTCATGATTGCAGCGATTAATAAGAATGTGGTGGATATTAAGAGTTGAGAATGAGAGAAAGAGAGAGAAGGAAGCTGATGTGCAGAAGGAGAGAGGAAGGTGGGGCTGGTTAAATGGAGGAGTGGAGGGAGAGCATAGTGAGCTTCCGGGAAGCTTCATAGGAGGCCATCACCATGATTATTTATTTATTTATTTATTTATGGGGTTGTATAAATTTATTAAAGTATCAAAGATGTCGTCCCTTAAAAATCCTCAAACTCGTTTTTGGAACCTCCACCTTACTATATATTAAATTCTTATAAATTTTTAGATGAGTAAAGTACTTAGCACCAAGCATCCAAAAAGTTTATGATAATATTAGGTTAGCATGGAATGTAATTAAGATATCAATTATAATCGACCTCCATTAAATATATAAAAGTTATAAATAAAGACAGACATAAATATTTATGTGTAAAACTCAAATAAGAAAAAACCGTCATAGAAAAAGTTGAGAACACACGCGGTATTTAATGTTAAAAGAATAAGAAAATAAGATAGGGATAATGATTTGAAAGGGTAACGAACTTTCGATTTTTTTCACATTTAGTCACTAAACTTTTTTTCGTTATCTATTTGCCATTGAACTATTGAAACTGTTCACTTTTTTTCGTTATCTATTTGTTAAATTATAGCAACATTTATTGATGAAGAAATTTATGAAATAAAAAAAAAAAAAAAAAACAAAACCCTGAAAATATATTTAAAAAAAAAAAAAACCGAAACCGAAATAAAAAACCAATGGTTTGACATTTTCCAAAATAAATAATCAAAATTTCCAATCTGATTTTGGTTTTACAAAAAAATGAACCATTCTCACTAATGTGAATTATGACCATTGGTTTGTGATATTTGCATAATTAGCCATATGTTTAGTATAGATTTTTATTCATTTTTAGCTAATTATGTGCATAATGTGGACAAAGGGTACTTAATAATGCTTAAATTGTGTTTTCAGTCCAGAAGACATGCTTGGAAGTAAAAAGGAATAAGGAGAAGCAATTAGAGACCAAAATATGAAGAAAAAGGAAAACACCCACATCTACTCGGCGAGTCCACGGATCTACTCGGCGAGTTCATGAGAATGTTCCCGAAGAAAAGTCAAGAATCCTTGTCGTACACGGATTTTACACGTTTACTCGGCGAGTTGGGGGACCTACTCGCCGAGTTGCCCCTGTTTTGTGATAAGTATAAATAATGGGTCTTATTCCGAATTGGGGACTTTTTCTGGCTTCTTGGAGTTACACCTGCGAATGAAGAACCCTTTGGAGACCCGAAGAACCCTAACCTTTGATCTTTAGAAGACTCAAGGCGAATTAGGTTATATTTTCCACTTAATCTTAGGACTGAATCATGTCTAGCTTAGTTAAATTCGTTTTTGAGCTTGTTTCCATTGTAATCATGAGCTAAATTCGTATTGTTTCTGTTTAGGAAAAACCAAGTTACTCCTATGGTTTAATTATTACTTTTATTGATTGTTTATTGGTGATTTTAATAAATTAAGTTTGTTAAAGAACCTTATGCACTAACCACAACTATTTTCTGTTAATTGAAAGACAATTAAGCTGCATGAACATCTCTTAATTGTTAACCTCATATGTTTATGTGAACACTTTATCATATGCCTAGGAATAATGAACATGAAACTAGGATTAATTAGAGAATGGATAAATTAATGTGTGAGCTTGTTTGAGAAACCAACAAACAAGAGGTTAATTGAATCACCAACTTGATTAACCAATTACAAATCTTATTTAATCCAAATAGTTGAACTAGGGAATTAATTAGTTTAAATAATTGGTCACTGCTTGAATTGATTAATTGTCTAAGGGTTAGTAATAGTGACCATGAATCTAACCACTATACTTGGTAACCAATAACAATTAATTTATCATATTATTATACAAATAACCATAGGAGTGAACTGGTTGGACCTAAACAGAAAATCTTTATCAAATTTGGTGAATTTTTACTTGTTTTAGTTGTTAGTTAATCACTTGTTAGGTGGTGTGTTTAAGTTTCTAGTCTTGTAAAACTAGAGAAAAACCTTTACTTTTATTAATTGTTTAGTTATAAATTAGTTATTAGTTTAATTTCCGTTCCCTGAGTTCGACACTCTACTTATCCAACTATACCACTAAAAGACAGGTTCACTGCCTTTGTGTGCTAAATTTATAATTTAAAAGTAGGAATAAAACCAGTGCATTTTACACACATCAGTTTGGCATGCGGAATTTGTGACATCCCATGAATACGTAGTTACAACATCGTTTGAACTCGTAATTCATAGTAAGGGGTTAGAGTATCATCACATGAATACGTAGTTACAACATCGCCTGAACTCGTAATTCATCACCTACAGGTTATGGGCCTGCTGGTGTTTCCACTGGGTTGTCTAGAATAGTCCGTTGTCGCCATCTATACTCTGGTAGATGACTACATCGCCACATTGCCAGTTAAGGTTATGATATCTCCTTTCATCCTACATCACCTATTCATCATCATCTATTTACCTAATTATCATCACCTTTCTATCATCACCTATCTCTCATCATTTTATTTCATCACACACCAACTATTTCATCTACCCATGTTTCATCTGCAACATACTTGTAGATATAAAATAAATATATTGTTTAAATCTTTTAAAACATGTATAAAATCGTTCATCCAACATAGACAACAAGTATTCAAATAATATGCACACATAGCACGTAATTTATATAAAATACTTCATATCTATGTGTAAGATGAAAGTAACTATATATGCCATAAAAATCCCATAAATGCTTCCTAACTTCAAACCCCAAGGTTTACTCTACTAAAGCTTCATATTCTCGGCTCTCTGGACCTAGAAGGGTCCAGATTCGTAACTTCAAACCTCAAGGTTTACTCTACTAAAGCTTCATATTCTCGGCTCTCTGGATCTAGAAGGGTCCAGATCTATAACACAAACTTGCAAGAGGGGTTTGAGGCATTCAAAACCCCAAAGATGAAGTGATTCAAGCCCTAACCCCAAAATGGAATCTACACAATAGGGAAGGAAGGGGTTCATTTTTGTACCTTAGAATGAAGCTCCTTGCTTGAATAACTTAGAACAATAACCTTCCTTAGTCCCTCTTGCTGGAACTTTTCCCCTTTCTTGCAAAATCACACCAAAAAGCTCAAGATAGCTCTTCCTCTCACTCTACACACTCAAGCTCGCTAGGGTTCTCACTTATGGGAAAGGTAGTTGCGATTGAAGGCCATAAGTGCCTTTAAATATGGCTCGGGATCAAAGATTTAGGTTTTATGCCAACAGCACGGACTCGTCAAGTCGCCTCACCGACTCGTCGAGTCCATTCATTAATTCGAGTCATCAGTCGCGACCTTACTCGATGAGTTGAGGCGTCAACTCGTCGAGTCTCTCTTCTTAACTCAAAAGAAAAATACTTAAATTATGATACCTGAAAATCCGGATGTTACATTTTGTTTTTTTATTTCATAGATTTCTTCATCAACAAATGTTGCTACAATTAAACAAAAATAAATAATTTGCTAAAACATAATACAATATGAAGTTTGTTCACATTTAGCTATTAAACTTTTTAGAGGGAAACGAAATTATGATTTTGTTCACATTTAGTCACTAAACTTCTTTTTGTTATCTATTTGCCACTAAACTATTGAAAATGTTCACATTTTACCCTTATGACCGGTAACAGCCGGTCATAAGGGTAAAATGTGAACAGTTTCAATAGTTCAATGGCAAATAGATAAAAAAAAAAAGTTTAGTGACTAAATGTGAACAAAGTCGAAAGTTCGTTACCCTTTCAAGTCATTATTACACTAAGGTTATGTTTGGCGTACGAACTGAAAAACTAGTTAATAATTAAAAATTAGCTGTTAAATAAAAAACTAACTGATAGCTGAAAAACTAACTGATAAAAATATCGTTTGGTAAAACTAGTTGAAAAATTACAGAATGACTTAAAATGACATTTAAAAGAATGCATTTATATAATTAATTAAGGGGTATATTTGAAAACAAATTTAAAAAAAACTCTTGAAAAGCTAGTCTAACTAGTTTTTTAAAAAGTTAGCTTATAAGTTACTTTTTGGCTTGCTAAAATGACAACTAAAAAAATCGAAAAATAAGCTAGCTTATCAGCTATTTATGAGCCTATGACGCGCCAAACACAACCTAAAATACTATACAAAATGAATGCATATATCCACATAACCATTTTTTTTTTCATATTTTAACAAAATAAAAACATTCGTCGTGAATAAATAAGCTTCAAAAAAATTACAAGATATAATCTCTAAAATCTCAATTTCAACAAGTTAAAAATAGTGAAAATTTCTTATTTGTAAATGGTTGATTATGATATATTTCGATTTGTTTCTTATTTTTATTTATTGAATTGAGTTATGCATGTTTCAATTCATCTAAAAGATCCCTAAAATAGTCTTCTTTTTTTTTTTTTTTTTTAATACTTGTTCTTGTTCCATATATGTCTGCTTTGACTCGAATGAATGTTCTGAAAAAACCTCAATTAAGTTATGTTTATGGAAAAAGAGCATTCTTGTGTTTTTGCCCTCCTGCTGAGAAATCATTTCGACAAGAGAACATCTTTTTTGACAAACATCGACAATAAACATTCGTAGGGACACTTTATTCTTCGTGGATATAATTTTAGATGATTCAAGTGTCTCTACCAAATAATCGCTAAGTATACATCTTTGTATATCTATTTGCGAGTAATATTGTTTTGCACATTCCTCGATGTTTCGTTCAGCCGTGAAGACATAATGGTTCATCGCTAAAGTGTCGCGATGTCATCTACTTCCATATGTGTAAGTATTGTTTGATGATTAATAGGGTATATGGTCTGTAGTGTATACATCTTAACTTAAGTAAACTGAATGACCAAACGATCGAACGACTGAATATACGAATGATCGAATGGCCGGATGACCGAAT